ACAAGAGGAGTTAATTCAGTTAAGCATTTTGATTGAATAATGCCCCTTATTCATCGTAAGATATAAGTTTTAATCTGCAGTTCTCTTGTAATTGTGTTGTGATTAATGCTTTCGATGGATCACCTGTTTCCAGAATTTTAATGTTATCCTAGCTGTTGTTATTGTTCTATAATATTTTGCTCATGACTCGCCACAGGTTAGAGGCTACCTTGAAATAGATAAATACAGAATCCCTAAAGAAAGCCCAACACGGCAAAATTGAAAATGTTGCAGGCTCGGTTTGATTGAGCCTGTTCATGGACGGTACTGGAAAGTGCAAGTTACCGTCCACGCCCCCTAGCACCGGCTTAAGCAGAATTCAACATTTAAACGTGAAATAGTAAAATTTTGAATTTAGAAACATCCGCAGATGTGTTCATACGGCGGTAATCATGGAACCTTCAATGTGACACGTCCGTGCCATTCCATGAAAAGCGGCGTATGGTCCCCAAGTAATAAAATGCGTGTGCCCTAAACGAGAAAACAATGGGCAGAACTAAATAAAATGGAATTTTGAAAGGGGATCAGAGGTTATGAAGTCGGCAACAATAACTGGACCATAGAAGCTGTTCTTTTGTCTTTAAACTTTAACTATTTATTTTCTTAACCAGTTAAGTCAGAGGAATCAAGTGTGATAACTCTACTGTCAATTTTTACAGTTAGACAATCCTAAAGAAACACTCCATTAAGTCTGATGGCTTATTTTACAGAGAAAATGTCCCATTTACTGGTATTGCTCTAATTCAGAGACAAGCACTCAGCGTGCTGTCTTACGGACAGCTATGGTTGTTTTTAAACTTTTGTTGTGGACCACTCTTGAGGTGACATTTTCCATGGGATCTTATAGAACCTGATCATAATGCCCTTAATTATCAACTTTCTGTAAATATGAAATTCTGGAAACAAAGTGATCCCTCGGAAGCATTAACCCCAACAAAATTACATAAGAATTGCAGACTCGGTTTGATTGAGTCTGTACATGAGAGATAATGAATAAGTGCAACATCCCTCACGCCCCCTAGCACCGGCTTGAGCGGTACTCAATTCTCAACGCTTAAAAGTGCTGGCATCAATGATCCCGAAGGACCAGAAAATATAACAACACTGAAGTGAAGTACGGGGCAACTTTTTACAGCTGCCACACAGCACTTGACACCTGCTGTTGTGAAAAATTCTGGAAACAAAGTGATCCCTCGGAAGCATTAATCACAACAAAATAACATAAGAATTGCAGACTCGGTTTGATTGAGTCTGTACATGAGTGATAATAAATAGTGCAACATCACTCACGCCCCCTAGCACCGGCTTGAGCGGTACTCAATTCTCAACACTTTATAGTGTTGGCATCAATGATCCCGAAGGACCAGAAAATATAACAGCACTGAAGTGAAGTACGGGGCAACTTTTTACGGCTGCCACACGGCACTTGACACCTGCTGTTGTGAAGTACAAAATTCTGGAAACAAAGTGATCCCTCGGAAGCATATGAGTCACCAGATAAAATATTATAAAACTTTTTACCTGCCTAAAGGTCATATGTTTCAATGGATCTTCATGAAATTTGGTAAAAAAAGAAAGAATCTCAAAGATCTAGGTCAAATTTGAAATTGAACTATTTCATGTCAAAATCGATCTAGGTCACCATTAAATTTCTATGATAATTGTACAAAGAGGTCAATCAAGTTGAAATCTTGGTTGTGTTAGAACTGTTGTGCAATTTAAGATCACTCCTGTATGTGTGTTGTTCAGTGTTGTTATATTTTCTTGTCCTTCGGGATGATTGATGCCAGCACTATTAAGTGTTGAGAATTGAGTACCGCTCAAACCGGTGCTAGGGGGCGTGAGGGATGTTGCATTTATTCATTATCTCTCATGTACAGACTCAATCAAACCGAGTCTGCAATTCTTGTGTAATTTTGTTGTGATTAATGCTTCCGAGGGATCACTTTGTTTCCAGAATCTTGAAGGAGGAAATTAATGTCATAGAAACTACAGATTCTGATGCAAGAGAAACGTTAGGGACTGGTGCAACAGAAACGACAGGTACTAGTAAAACTAAAAATACAGATACTGGTGAAACTGAAAATACAGATACTGGTGAAACTGAAAATACAGATACGGGTAAATCTGAGCATGTTGACAGATGATTCTTATATAGATGGTGGCACAACGATTCTGTTAAGACGCAGGAACAGACTCTCCTGGTAATATTTTTGACTGACGCATGAATTAATTACAGCTTTAATCGCAGGGTTCCCACGCTATCCGGGAAAACGGGAAATGTCCTTTAATTTGAAAACGGGGGCTCCCGGCCTTGAAATGTCGGAGAATTAGTGTTGATACGTGAAAAAGTACGAGAAGGTACTGGAATTACCCTGTCCGGAAAAAGGGTGATACATGTTTACAAATCAAATAACCAAAATGGCAATCAATTTTACTTAATAACTGAAACAAAATACTAGCCATTTAAACTTGAAATATAGCAATATTAAATATTTAGAAGCTCTAAATGTCCCCTTCCCCTGTGCCTTTTGACTTTATGGGCCTAATATTCAATCATTTATTTGTTTTGTTTTAGTTCCTTATCAGTTACTAATTATTTATTCTTGGGTATTGGTTTGCCTGCCCGTGCTTTACCTTATGCCCTGACCTGTTTTTGTTTGGGGTCCTCCTGGGCTCATTGCCACTGGCGCTTGTTACTGGGTCGGGTGGGGGCTGCGTTCATTGAACGCCGCCTTTCCTTGTCGATCTTGTTTATCACATTCTAATATCCACTTGAATTACAAAAAGGTCTCTTATTTGTAAACTTGACCCAGGCCAATTCGAAACTAAACGACCGAAACTGTGTACTGCCATATTGATTGCCACAGCTGGAATATTGATGTTTTTTTATTTACAAGTGTTTTTAAAATAGATAAATACAGAATCCCTAAAGAAAGCCCAACACGGCAAAATTGAAAATGTTGCAGGTACTCAATTAAAGCCAATTCGGGATCATTGATACCAAATTCTGGAAACAAAGTGATCCCTCGGAAGCATTAATCACAACAAAATAACATAAGAATTGCAGACTCGGTTTGATTGAGTCTGTACATGAGGGATAATGAATAAGTGCAACATCTCTCACGCCCCCTAGCACCGGCTTATGTGGTACTCAATTCTCAAAATATGATAAACAAGATTAACAAGGAAAGGCAGCGTTCAATGAACACTTAATAGTGTTTCCAGAATTTTGTACTTCACAACAGCAGGTGTCAAGTGCCGTGTGGCAGCCGTAAAAAGTTGCCCCGTACTTCACTTCAGTGTTGTTATATTTTCTGGTCCTTCGGGATGATTGATGCCAGCACTATAAAGTGTTGAGAATTGAGTACCGCTCAACCGGTGCTAGGGGGCGTGAGTGATGTTGCACTATTTAATTCGTTTCCAGAATTTGGTATCAATGATCCCGAAGGATCAGAAAAATATAACAACACTAAAGTGAAGTACGGGGCAACTTTTTACGGCTGCTACACAGCACTTGACATCTTCTTTGAGAATATTACTGGTGAAACTGAGCATGTTGACAGATGATTCTTATATAGATGGTGGTACTCCAACGATTCTGTTAAGACGCAGGAACAGACTCTTACTGGTTATATTTTTGACTGACACATGAATTAACGCAGGGTTCCCACGCTATCCGGGAAAACGGGAAATGTCCTTTTAATTTGAAAACGGGGGCTCAATATCACAGATATGACGTCAAAACAAATCAATCTCAAGCTTGCTTGATTGGCCCGTGTTCAAAGCATATGAAAAAGATAAAAACTCACAGGTCTGGTTGTTTCCTTGGCAAGCAATTTTATCCTGATCGCCAAAAACCACGCTAAAAGCCAAAACTAAATCAATATAAACTAAACAATAGTATGGGTTGCGTTCATTGAACGCCGCCTTTCCTTGTTGATCTTGTTTATCATATTTTACACGAAATATTGTCAAGACTGAGCACGGTCAATTGGCTACACCATGTTTCGTACTTAAATGTCGGATGGTTAAAAAATAGTTAGAATAATTTGAGTTTTATTTGTCATTGAAATAGAAATTAACAGAATACCTTAAGAACGTCTAAAACGGCAAACTTGAAAAGGTTTTAGACTGAGGTTTGATTGAGCCTGTTTATGTATGGCACTTAAAGGTGCAATCCCGATAGCACCGGCTTAAGCAGAATTCAACATTTTAATATCAAATTATGAATTAAGAAACATCTGCAGATGTGTTCATATAGCGTTTATCATAGAACCTTCATTGTGACATGTTTCTGCCATAATTCCATAAAGCCTCTCCTGATCTATAGAACAGAGAATAACGATCTAGTCACTATGTGGAGTTGTGCCTTAATATAGATAGATTAACAAGCAAACTTATTGAACAACTTTGTCTTTTTTAGGTTTTTTTTCAACCCTTTTAACTGTAGCCTTTTAACATCTTATTAGGGGTTTTGTTGACTTCATACACACCTTATTAGGGGATTAAAGTTTGATTACTGGGAGAAATAAAAAAATTAATAATTCCTAATTAGGATTAAAAAAACCTTTTTTTAGGAGAAGAAATGAAACCTGTTCCGCATTATGTATCAAATTCTTATAAAGTTATAAAATTTTATTCATGACTGTTTCACCCGATTTCGAGCCTTATAATCCTAATTAGGCATAAAGTGGTTCTAATGAGGACTTATTTCTTTGAATAAGCCTTTTTAATTTAGGTTATAAGCTCCAAACTAGAATATAATATATTTATATCACATTTGTTTTCAAGTTCGTGTCGCGAATGTTATTATGTGATAATTATATGTGATTGTTGCACGTGTGCAATTAAGTACATGTATTTTTATTGCATAACGGTAATTTTGTACCATTTAAAAAAGCTTCGATAAATTTTGTTTTAGGGAATTAGATTAAATAAGATTAAATAATAAAAGCAAATGCGAATAAACAATTTATTATATCGGAGTCCTTGTTTCAAAAGTAAATTTCATCATACGTTTCAAGTTATTAATCTTTATTTAAACTCCGATATTTATTCCATTTAAGAAAATGTCCGGTTTCGACTTATCAGGCTCAGTTGCAAACAGAACAAAAGACTGGACGATTTCGTCATTGGGGAAACGCTCATTAACAGGATTGTACATGTAGAAAAAACGCTCGTCTATTTGGGTATTGTTGTGTGTTCCGGCAACAAAGTTCATAATGAATTCATCTTTTGAAAGGAATGTGTCTCCATCTAAGTCTATCAAATTGCACCAATCCGATGCAAAAACACGCACCTTCTCAGCTAAAGCAGTTGCGTTGGATTCATAACTTTGTTTCATCATGTTTATGAGATCATCTTTCGAGAGTTCTTTCTTGTTTTGGAAAAAGAAGACATTCCACAGTTTATCCATTTCTTTTATGATCTTCTTTATTTGCTTATCTGTCAGATCACTACGGGTTTTATAACGTCCTCTGTAAGAAAACAAATGATAACATAAATCAACAAGACGAGGCGACAAATGCATCTCTTAGCCCCTTAGCGGATCAGGTTGTTTTAACTCTGTTGTTGCTTTAAGATTGTAACACCCAAGATTATCTAAAATCATCATTCCAAGCGCCATATCATCAAAACTTTGTTGGTGCGCCATAAAACCAGACAAAATCAGAAAAGACGCATTACCGTATAAAAATGGAAAGACCTAATTAATCAAAGACTATCCTACAATTTTGTTATGCATCTGGATTTTTCTAAAGATAGATATTGCCCCTTATCATCAATAACAACATTTGTGTAAGAGATATGTGTTATAATTATCTGACGATACACAGGTAAAGATGCACCACATGTTTGTTGTATGATTGATACACCTTATGTTTTCCATATGTAAAACATATGTGCTTCATATGTTTTGAAAAACATGTATTTAAGAACATATGTTTTTCATATGTAAATAACATATGTTAAACAGGATCATATGAAAAACATGTGTCAACAAATATATGTGAAACTCATGACTTTACATGTTTTCATATGAATAAGTTTTCATATGTAAAATATATGTGAACTTTCATGTGTTTTTCATATAATAAATTTTATGATCATATATTTTGCAAGATTTACATCTTGAACAGTCTTAATTAGATTCTACATGATTATTAATAAATTCATAAAAGATTCTGTACAAATTGTAAATGTAGTAAATCTTTGAGGAAAAAGTTGACTTCACTTCCAATACTTCTTGTCATGTTAAAAAAAATCTTAATTTGAGCATCATATTTATGATATAAAACCATACAAATTTTTGTAAGTTCCAAAAAGCATCATTTATCAAAATATTACCGAATTTAACATTTTATGTAAATAGAGGGAGGTAATAAAAATTTTATTTTCTATAAAGTCTAAGTCAAATTGTTCAAAAAGAAATGAATGCATATATTTTAATGATTACATATAATATGTACAAATATTTGCATTTGCAGTACATATTTTAAATATTATTTGATGTTTGACAATTGTTTTATAAGCATAATTATATAAATATATATAATTTCACTTATGTGTGGTGTTGAGCACTTAACACTTGTTAAATTCTTATGAATTATCAAGTTCAAGCAAACCAAACACCGGAACACAATTTACCATTTGTAATTAAAAACATGATTCATTTGAATCCATATGTGAAAAAACTAATTATTAGTCTATTCCATAAATGTAACATACAGTGTCCTTTTCGCGAAGATACACTGTTTCTTACCATATGAAAAACATATGTTATTCATGTGCATCCATGTGAAAAACAAATGAAAAACATGTGTCTGCACCATATGTAATAAATATGGGGAACTTTCCTTGGAGGCACCATATGTTTCTACCATAAGTAAGACATGTGTGTCACATACGTTTAACATGTGGTGCATTTTTACCTGTATACACTTTATATTAACACGAGTTAAAAGAGAATCATTTGCATATTCAACGACCGATTGGCGGTGACATTTCATTTTCATAAACTCATAATTTCATTGTCATGAATTTGCAATTCTAAAATCGTGAATTACCGTTTTCAACATGCGAACTCTATGATTTAACTTAATAAATTTCAACTTCACGAATTGTACCGGTACTTCGCAAAATCATGGTTTGAATTTCAGAATTTCAGCTTTGTGAATTCACAATTTCATCTTCACTCTTCACAAACTCGCGATTTCAACTTCACAAATTCAACTTTTTGAATTCATGTTTTGCACTTGACAAATTAAATTTCACAAAGTTGGTAGCGTGAATTAACGAAGTTGAACTCGCGAAGATGAAATCATGAATTCGTAAAATTTGAAACCGTGTATCCACGAAGCTGAAATTCATCAAGTTGAAATCGTGAAATAATGAAGTTGGCATTGTGAATTCGTGAAGATGGACAAGAGAATTCAAAGAATTGAAATGTCACCATGTTTTTTGTTATATTTAACTCAATGTGATTTAAAACTATAAAAGTGACCTATCCCTGGTCTTAAGATATTCATTCTTCGGGCTTTGTGAGATCAATAAATTGATACTGAATTTCATAAATTGTCCTTTTTGATTTTCTAATAAAGTTTTTGTCAACATTTTTACTTACTCAAATACTTTGGGGTCTTCCAATGAAAGAAGTCCATCATGATTGAAATCAACAAATTCAAAGAATTTTCCCCACTTATCAATAAGGTACGTGTTCGCCTAGAAAAATAAATGGATAAGTTTACATGTTATATGCGATTAGAGACTCAGTTTGTAATATTTTTTACCATATTTACATTGAGTGATTCTTGCAAAAAGGACTTTTTGTGTCGCCTTGAAAAGGTGACATATAGGGGTTACTTTTGTCGGCGGTGTCGGCGGCGGCGTCTGTGTAGTTGTCGGCGTCGGCGTCCGCTAAAGCTTGTCCGGAGCATAACTCAGTCACTATAAGTCTGATTGACTTCAAACTTGGTATGCATGCTTCTTTCAGTAACCCGAAGTGCAGTGCACAAGGACCGGTACTCTGCAGTTCTTATTTTTTGAGTTATTGCCCTTTGTTAATTTTCATACTTTAATTTTGTCCCGGCCATTTCTCTTCAACTAAAAAAGCTATAGACTTGAAACTTCATAGGATGATAGATCTCATTAAGAAGAAATGCAGTGCACAAGAACCAGTACTCTGCACTTCCTAATTTTTGAGTTATTGCCCTTTGTTTTTGTCCGGGCCATTTCTCCTAATGTATAAAAGCCATGGACTTGAAACTTCATAGGATGATAGGTCTCATTAAGAAGAAGTGCAGTGCACAAGAACTGGTACTCTGCATTTCTTATTTTTTGAGTTATTGCCCTTTTTTAATTTTCATACTTTATTTTTGTCCGGGCCATTTCTCCTAATGTATAAAAGCCATGGACTTGAAACTTCATAGGATGATAGGTCTCATTAAGAAGAAGTGCAGTGCACAAGAACTGGTACTCTGCATTTCTTACTTTATTTTTGAGTAATTGCCCTTTGTTTATTTTCATTTTTTAATTTTGTCCGGGCCATTTCTCCTTAAGTATAAAAGCTATGGACTTGAAACTTCATAGGATGATAGATCTCATTATTAAGAAGTGCAGTGCACAAGAATCCGTACTTTGTATTTCTTAATTTTTGAGTTATGGCCCTTTGTTAATTTTCATACTTAATTTTTGTCCAGGCCATTTCTCCGAAGTATAAAAGTTATGGACTTGAAACTTCATAGGATGAAAGATCTCATTAAAAAGAAGTGCAGTGCATAAGAACTGATACTCTGCATTTCTTATTTTTGAGTAATTGCCCTTTGTTGATTTTCTTACTTTATTTTTGTCCTGGTCATTTCTCCTCAAGTATGAAAGCTATGGACTTGAAACATTATAGAATGATAGATCTTATTGATAAGAAGTGCAGTATACAGAAATGCTGCTCTGCACATATTATTTTTTTAGTTATTGCCCTTTGTTATTTTTCATATTTCATTTTTGTCCTGGCCATTTCCCCTAAACTACATTGTTCACAAGGCGACACATCCGACTTGCGGAGTTCTAGTTTAATGTATAAAGTACTTTCCCTGTTCACTTTGTAATATTTTACTTTTAAATCGTCCTTAAAATTTTCATGAAAATTTGCATGAGAATAAAAACACGTTGCTTTTGTCATAAGTTAGAAAGTTGACAGTGGATGCGATATACAGTAAGTTATATTTGCGCCATTCGTATTTGCAACAGGTGTTTTAACCTCAATATATAATTCCTTATTTACAAATCAAACTAATACTGATCAGTGAAAATTGTATTTTTATAGTACATTTCGAAGATAACGTTAAAGGGTCTCCAATTAGTGAGATCATGATGTGTAAGTCGACTGATTTTAATTGGATTTAATTTGACGTCTAAACATAAGTCAATTTATATTATTTTCAAAGATAAAAAAACAACGTTTAGTTCGCCGAACCTTGTCTAGATAAGACTTATTAAGCTTGATATTTTTGTCTAGGTGAAAAGGTATCCTTTCGTCTTTTGTAGAACAAATAACTTCAAGTATTTTTAGAAAAGTGACTAAGAATGACAAATATGGCACAGTTTTTGTGAATGAACTAACTTGTATTAAAACATCTGATCAAATCGAACAAATATTAGATGATGATCGCACTAAATGGAGGCCTTTTAACATTTCCGTACCTTTCATCATATGTCAAAAAATTCCTTTGAACCAAGAGTTTGTTTTAGTATTGAATAATAGATTTTGTTATGTATATGATAGATTTTATTGTGTACATTATTGTATAGTTAATTACAATATATTACTTCAATCAGTCATGTAAAAAATACTAAAATGACATCGATATTCAATGAATCATTCGGAAAAAAACCTTTTTCATTCAGATAAAGTACTACATTTTGATATTAAAATGTGACTTATTTGCTGGCCGTGTAGTTACACAACGTTTAAAATTAATTGTCATAAAAGACTTTCTAACTTTAGTGAAGAATGGCTTCAATCATCGACGTTCCTTATGTTCTCTAGTTCCCTTCGACGCTAGTAAAAAATCCCTGGTCCCTTATGGCTTTGATATCCGAGTCAAAGGTGAGTAGTCGGACAAATTATGATTTTACGCTAGGTAGAAATATAACAACCCACGAAAAAACAAGATAAAACTAATTTGCTTTAAAATATATTTTCTGAAGAAAAAAATAGATATTGCTGTAGGTAGTACGATTTACCTTTAAATTGTCGTAAATTTAATACAATCTTCTACTGTAACAGTTAATTAACATAGTAACAACCATACTGTTGCTATGGGTTAAAGATATATTATGCCCAAATTTGATATTTCAAAGTACTGATAATTTCTAGACAGTTTCTTTTTTAAAATGTAAAGTTAACATCGTTTGAGTAACGTTTCACACTACACAATATATAGGTTCACATAAAGATAGACATAGTATATATGTAAAACTTTAATTTTATAAAATAAAAATGAGAAATTTCAGAAAATAAATTAATTCTTCAAAGCAGTTATGATGCTTATAAAATGTTTTGTTAAAGTATATATTTGTTCTTATATACCTTGCTTTGTTCTTGCTCGACAGCATCAACACAAACTACAAAAAAGCGACATCTTATATACTGCAAAATCCTATATTAACTACATATCTCATAACATGTCATTTTACATATGATTATTTTTAAAATGCCTTATCCGGTGAAAAGCCTGAAAAAACACTTTGTGTTAAAACTCCCTATAAATCAATTTCAATTTCTCAACTAAGACAGGTAGAATGCAATTTTTGAAAACAATCTGCAAATTGCAGTTCTATTTGTCTAAAATCTTGTTTTTTTAATATGTTCCAAGATGTTCCTGCCAGACTCCGCCGAAAAAAATTCTTAGCAATCAAAGTACATTCCCTCGTAATTTTAAGCATAATCATAAAACAATTGGAAATTAAAGCCAAATTGTCTGTATCTACTATATACATGCATTTTGATGAATAAGTTACCGGAGCAATAATGTTCTAAAATCTAGCAAATCAATATTTCTACTAAAGTAAAACAGACTGTGATAGTGTCCAAAGCACACACAATAAAAAAAACCAAAGATAAAACAGATAAAACATTGTACTCATATATCAATTATAAGAAAAAAGGATGCTTCAGTTTAAATTTTTATTAATATCTGTAATGTCTTATACAAGGAGAACAAAGAAGGCTAATTGCGTTTGTATAAAATAACTGTGTTTATGACAAATTAACAGAAAACAAATAAACATCATGCTAAATTTACAAAGACTGTTATCGTGTTAACGAAGGTAAAATGAAACATTTAACAAAACGTAATATATCCGTGAAAAGAAAATGCAAATAAAGACTCTTGCTGAAAGAAAAATGTATGTAATTAAACAGAGATATGCACAGAAAGCGAACAAAAGAGCCATGCTAAAATTGAAAGGACTAATATTATTTTCAATACTCAAAGAGCCAAATGAATGGAAAATCTTGGTAAATTGAAATAGCCTGTAAATATAACAAATTAACAGAAAGCAAATACAAAAATGTCTTAATTGAAAAGATTATGATTATTTCCAAACCACCCAAACAAATAAAGTCTTGCTAATGTTAAAAGGTAATTATAATGTCTTATACAAAGAAAGTAATAAAAAGATCAAGCTTATGGACAAGACAATATCTTCAATGTATAGAGAACTCAAATGTTAATCAAATAAAGACTCGTGCTTTTCAATTAGGCAATGTATGCTTGAAATACTGTTATTACCTTCAACAAAAAGTGAACAAATTTTCAAAAAAAAGGAATATTAAACCGTAAATAAAATATTTGCATGTGCAAGATAAAATAATTTAAAATTTTTATTGAATTGCAAAGAATCTTTCAATCAATACATTGAAAGATAACTAACGTGTTTTACCTGTTAGACTCAGAGCAAATAACAACGTTACTGACCAAAGCACCATTGTTTGCATGTATCGTTGTTCTTCGTTAACACCTGTGAATAATATTATAGTGGTCTGGTATATATAAAGATCATCATCAACAACAACAACCGAACATCCTCCTTTAGTTTTAGTTAAGGCCCATAACATTATCAAAATATTGTATAGAAAGATGCTTGCTGCACATTACAAAATACAATGATTAAATGTTTTGTATGACTGTCTTTACCTAATGTATCAATGGTAAGTTTGTGTATGTATATATATGAAACTTTCATCTCTATTTGATTACTAAAAAAGGTGTAAAATGTGTTTTAACCCAGGTAGTGTCTCCAGAATTCCCTACAGAAATTGGCCTTCCAGCAGTCTGAATGAGCCAATTGATATTTTCCCTAGTAATGACAAGTTGCGACAAACTTGCTTGTGGGTCCGGGTTGGATCCCGTTAAATGTATTCTAGTAGTGCTGGATGACGCCACAAGCAAGTGACACTTACGACATTATTTAGAATTTAATGCCTTACAAACTTGATCCGAAAAAAAAAAAAAACACTTAAACCGGCACAATATGCATACGTGATGTAATGTGTATTGGACAGGAAACTAGAGACATTCGGAAAGGATACGGCCGTGCGTCTTAGGTAGAAAGGGATAAGGTCATTCATGGAAACCAGCTGGAACCGATTCATGTCAACAACGATGTCTCTGTTTGAGTGTTTATAATATTTGCTAAAATAAAAAAAAACACGAACAGACACAGAAGTGAAACCATCGACGTTCCGTAATTTTGTTTGATAGCGTTCTGACACAAAATAATTCCAAAGCCACTATAAGGACTCGAACCATCAGCGGTTAGGGGCAAGTGGATTATATAAACTATTGTAACCACTCGGCCACGATAGCCTTTTCACAAAAACATATACATCATGAAATTAAATAGAAGATTTTTTTCAGTACTGTGCTTATTATACATTTATTAGGTAATTTAAAAATGGCATAAAAGGAAACGTTAAAATGCTTTTTCAATTAGTGCGATCATAATGTGCATTTACGAAATAAGTGCAAGTGTCATTTTCTTTAAAAGTCAACTTGTACCATATGTTTGATCTTCTTACGAAAAATTTGGGTTTTTAGGTTTAGAAAAACGATTTACATTATGCAACGTCATTTTGTCACAGGATTGTAGGCAATGCATTTTTATATCAGTGTCTTCAGCAAATATTTCCTATTTAATTTCTAAAAAATGTTCCTTTTTCTTGTAATGCAAACATAAACAATTAATTTCTAAAGAATTTTCCTATTTCTTGTAATGCAAACTTAAAAAAGAAAATCAAATCTAAACATACCCCTGTTTCTTTTCTTCCAAGATTTACAGTTTTACACTTCTAAAGACATACACTTCTTATACCTTAGCTATCCTGTACGAAACTGGTTGTGATATTCTATGTAAGTAACGGTCTTGTAGCAAACAACAGTTATAAAAATCATCACAAAATAATAAAACAACACGTTTTATACATATGAATATTTAAATACAATTCACGACAGCTGGATTCTATTTCTGCTTTATTTTTTACATAATGTTATGTCTTTTAAGAAAGCTTTTCGTCATTTCTACAGCAGTTACAATCGCTGACAAAACAGTGTTCAAGTTAATGTTTTGTCTTATCTAAAAATCATATCTCTTAACAGTTATCCTAACAATAGGCAAACATCTGTTGCTTCTGAAATCTCTTGAAACGGTTAAGATCTATATATATCTTTTGTTCTTAAACTATGTATACTAGTTAAAGGGATACTAAGGCAAATTAATGACACATATATCAAAATTATCGCATGTACTCGAGTAACGCTAAAAGACATTTGTAAAGGTCCAAGCCATGAATTCGTACTCCAAATTAAATAGTTTGACGGTTCTAAGCCGAACAATTAATCTAGTACCTACGATAGATTGCAAGTAGAAAAATTCTTATGATCAAATCATGTAAGTAGCCACTAAAGTCAGATTTACAGCAAGCCCATACCAAAGAAGTACACAAATCTCCAACATTTTTACTCTAGAGCAAACACTGCAGAACAAATAATACTACTTCTTATATCGTAATGCAATAGATTCTCAACACAAAAACAAGTACACACAGAGTTCTACAAAGATACCAATCCTTCTGAGAAAATAACCTAGGAAAACGCCCCAACGTTCCGTAATTTTTACATGTTCGTGAAGTGGCAAACAAACCTAACAAGCATAGCAGAGTGGCATGACCGCTTATCAGACACACACCTTTAAAAGAAAACTAAGAAAAAATCGATATCAGACATGAAACCCCCAAACCACCCAGTCCTTCGGCACAACAAATACGCCACCTATACAATCCTTTATGCCAATTCACATATCTCCACCGCAAATACAAGTTTCTCTACATCAAACATATCCATTCAAACTCAACTCGCCCACCGCGCGCCCACGCTTCTCTCTCCACTCTCTCGCGCCTTCACCACCCCAGAACTCTTTCCCGCTCTTGCGCAATCTAAGACAAATGTAAATTTAATAATTTTAAGCACCCCAAAATAAAAGAAGCAATTACGCATGTTCCTGAAACGTCACCGTTATCACTTACGACTCAATTCGTTTACATATGAATCCGAGTTTTATAAATACTCCAGCTAATATGTGCTTTATAATAGACATGCGACGTAATCATTGACAACATCCATTGAGTAAACCAGTCTCTGCATGTGTCTGGAGTCGAATAGAACCTAACGCGTAGATGTCTGACAAGATTAATAAGTAACACAAAAGAGAAAATATAATACAAAACCAAATGCAAACATCAATTCAATGAATAATTGAAAAAAATATAACAAGAACAGCCAACCCTCGGAAAGCGTCTGCGAAAATATGTAATATTTTACCTTTTTTGCGTCAATTATATACCTGGATCACACACAAGATAAATTATAGATATTACCAAAATAGAAATTGACACGAGTCTAACTGGATCCTCAACTGAATCCATTACTGAAATCTTATCCGAAGTTGGATACTATCTGTTGCAACTGACTGATATATAACGTAGATATAGACAGATTATGCACTAACTATAAAAACCAACCTAATAATTACAATAAGAAAATACACATAAAATAAACTTTACAATATCAATATCAGTCATGTCCAGATGTTATAATCGTCAAAACAAATAGAATATAATCTTAAATATAATTGACCATAAAAGAATAAAATAATACACACACTTAAGAAGAATAGATCCCATTATCCTATAATAAATAAAATCCTCTGTTGGTGTTTGTGAAGTTATTAAACTACGCCTATATCAACTTGGCTCAGATATGAATTATTGCTGCTCATAGTTTTGCTCCTCACAAACAAGAAAAAAAAACAATAGTACTCAACAAGAACGTTCATAATGAATAATAAATAGGCACTAGATAATCTGAATATATATCACTCGAGGAATTTAACATCAATAACATGATCCTCCTTTTTAACTAAATTATCTCCTACACTATCCATATAAACAAACTATGCGGAAAAAGAGACGCCTAACATATTGAAGTTAATTAGTACATCTAGACCCTCTGAATATATTACTGTTTTATTTATGCTATAAATGAGCATAGCAGACTACTATGAGCTTAACTGCAGTGTGTGCGCTCCAGAACAATATTCATCCAAATAATTAAGCTGATAGAATTAACAGATCTCCGCGAAGTAAAATACTTAGATATAGACATAGGATAAAGTGGATACTCACTTACTCAATAATTTATAACCATTGATAGAGATCTCTCTATTAGATCATCGATAATAAAGTATGGTGGAACAAAACAACACAAACCATGCAATAAATAATAAATAATCACCGATATCTAAAATCAATGAATATCGGTTCATATACACACTACCAAATCTCACAAACATAGAAATAAAAAACCTAAGAGAGTGATCAATATATAGCTAACTAAAAAAGTTGAAACTCTCCCCAATCCACTAATCTGCGGTTTATACACGGTTTAAATCTATTGAAACTATGTGGAATACTCGCTAAACGTTTCCTGTAGCAGAACGGAACATATAAGAACCAAACTACATTACTCTCTAAAAAACAAGTCGACATATCTCCTAAAACATATACTGATGATACACCATTATGCCACATTACAAAGAATGCCAAATCTCTAACACCAATAAATAAACATAAAAATAGAATAATAGTAATGCAATAATTTAGAAACTCATTATTCAAATTATAATCTGTTCACCCTTTGAATATTTAGTCATTCAACATCTAATATAATCTAAGTCCTCTATATGAGATCACGAGAACAATAGTATTCGCGAGATAATAGAAATGCTACATACCTCAAACAATTTTAGCTATACTAATACCCACAAATCCACTCATCGATCTCGTAATCTCGGCATTACAAACCTCGGTCGAGAGAATCTCCTCTACAACTTATAAACTAGATAGGTTCCATGACCTATAATAATGTACAAAATACATATACAAAAGACTTCTTAGGTGCTGTTATACCCAAAGCATAATTTCACCACTTGTCCATGCCAAGTGCACAAAGTACACTGAAATTGAAGAGCCAAGACAACCCATATTCTCTCTCACCACCATTAGGATAGTCCTAACACATACAATGTATATACTATGCCAACAAGGAAATCAGATCATCCAGACAACAGAGTGAGCTAATTCAAAAATATCAGCTGTGCCTTGTTCCTTATGTATAGGCATGACCCCAATCCTCAAAAAGGAATAAATAATTTAAAGTATAGCATGTTGAACAACGTTCTATCTAACTATAGACACGCAAAGCCAAATAATACCAAACAATACTAACTGTTTGCGAGAAACTCCAATTAAACTAAAATCAACAGCTAGACAAAAGTCATTATACAAGTAAAGCATTATAACAATATTACTTACACACACAACTTACATTTACAAATATTATATATACAATATAAATCCATAGAGATATGCCACTTAAACATTAATGATTGTAAAATTTTATTTTCTCTGTTCGCCTGTTGATTTTTTTCAAATGATTTTGTAGGTGTCATTCCCAAATTACAACAGAATTTTACTACAGTCGACTCTCGTTATCTCGAAGTCATTGGAACCGTCCAAAAATATCGAGATAACGAAATGTCGAGATAAACACATAAGGGTTTGAATAAGGCAGAAACTGATTTTTACAAAAGACATGTACATACCTTATGTCAAATAAACTATGATATCCCAATGTTTTGTTTTAATATGCCTAGTCAATATTTAAATAAGTAACATTAGTGGATGTTTACCACATACGGGTTTCTGTGATAAAAACACATAATGAGGTTTACTCAGATATACACCAATATAGTGAAAACATTGTTTTCAGGGTGGTTGATCCGGATATTCTCCCGGGTTATTTATCGGGTCTTTCTCGATGTTGTCCGGCCGCTGATTGATTTGGTGGTGATGTTTTGAAACAATATTGCAACGATAGCGTTTTTATACTTTCACTATTTCATTTACATTTAAAGTCATAATGAATGGCTACAGTGTTCAAATATTTATAAAGAACATTAAATTAACTCATTTTGGACATAAGTCAATCAACACCATAAGTAGATTAACTTTTATAAAAACAGCTTAACGTGTTACAAACATAATCATCATAATGACACGCGCCTTAGCAATAATCGTCTAGTTTGTGTTTTTCACACGTCTGAAGGGAACAGACGAAAGAAAACTATTAGTAGAGATAAACAAAGGATAATAGTGTGAAAACAACTGTTGGGGCTGAAATTGTACATCGAGATACTGAAAATATCGAAATAAACAAATATTTCCAATTAGATAAAGAAGGAAGAAAATCGGGACTTTCAAAATTTCATCGAGATAACGAAATATCGAGAAAAGCGATGTCGAGATAACGATAGTTGACTGTATTGCGCGACTGGATAATTCCTGCGTGTTCGTCATTTTCCCGTTGTAAACAATATTGGCGTCTGGTGTTTCTAGCGATATCGACACAAATTAACGAAAATGACGTCCATAATTTTAAAGAAGTACTAAAATAAATGAAGTCATAAAAGAAACATGCGATGTTTAGTGCGTTTTCAACGTTGATTATTTATTTTTTAGCAAAAAAATATACGATAACTAACAGCGTTTTTCTACCGTGCTCCGGGTGCGGTGTAAATACTTTATAAAAGCAATGTAAAATAATTTAACTGTTTCTTCAAAATGTGTTGATAATATTCTACAAGGTATGCTGATTAAATTTCATTACAAAACACGTTGACGTTCAAGATAATAAAAAAAAAACTCTACGAATTTTTTGATAACCCCTCGTATATATATTTTTAATGCCAGGTCATATTAACCTCACAGTAAGAAATAATTACATGGTATTGATTGACTTGCATTAGTAGAAAATAAGACTATTTCAAGAATTGCACAATTTCATGAAAAGTAG